TATCAAATCTTTCCTTAATTAGTAGGGTTGATTATGAGGCTTAGACCTACATATATGCGCGTTGTAATTGTATTTCTGTGTGTCGAATATGATCACATATGTTGTATGTTTATATGCAAAAGAGGTATACACAATAGGTAATAGTATAATTTACACTTACGACTAATTGAATGTCAATCAATACTAATTGATTGATAATGGATTCTCAATACTTCCCCTCAAGTCGGATCATATATGTTGTATGATCCGAGCTTGTTATAAATATAATTCACTCGAGAACCCTTGAGAGACTTGGTAAACATATTAGTTAATTGATCTTCAGATTTAACAAATTTTGTGGTTATTTCTCCTAACAATACCTTGTCTCTTACATAGTGACAATCTATTTCTATGTGCTTGGCCTATTCATGGAAAATCGGATTGGATGCAATGTGAAGTGCTACTTGATTGTCGCATATGAATTTTGTGGTCTAAAGGTCTCCCAACCTAAGTTCTGAGAGAAAATTCTTAAACCATGCAAGTTCCTTCTGTGCTACTGCCATAACACGATATTCAACTTCAGCATTAGATAGTGAAACTGTGTTTTATTTCTTGCCCGTCCATGAGATCAAATTTCCTCCAATAAGAACACAATATCTATAAGTATAACTCTTATTCAAACGGTGATCTTGTCCAGCCTGCATCTGAATAACATGTGATTTTAGCATCACCTTTATCTTCATATAATAGGTCTCTTCCTGGTGCATTATTTATATATTTGAGAATCCGAATAACTACATTACAATGAGTATCACAAGAAGCGTTCTGAAACTGACTCACAATGCTCACTGCAAAAGTAATATCTAGTCAAGTGACGGTAAGATAATTGAGTCTACCCACTAAACATCAATATCTTCTCGGGTCTTTAACCTGCTCTCCCTGACCCAAAAGAAGCTTGATTATGGGATTCATAGGAGTATCAATCGGACGACAGTCAGGCATACTAGTTTTAGTTAGGATGTCTAATGCATACTTACGTTGGTTAGTTGCAACGCTTGATGAGGACTGAGCAACTTCAATAACTAAGAAGTATCTAAGTGGACCCAAATATTTTGTCTGAAAGTTTTTGAAAAGATGATTTTTGAGTCGCTGGATACCCTCTGTATCGTCTCTAGTAATAACAATGTCATCAACATAGACCACAAGAAATATGCGTTGAATGGTGGAGGAATGAAGGAAGGAAACAGAGTGATCTGTTTCGCATATAGTCATACCAAACTATATTAAGGCAGAACTGAAGCGGCTAAACCAAGCACATGGATATTGTTTCAGCCCATAAATAAAACGAAGAAGCCGAAAAACAAGCCTTAAGTTGCCAAGAATAATAAAACCTAGAGGTTGATCCATATACACTTCCTCCTCCACTTCTCCGTATAAAAATGCATTTTTAATGTCCAACTGATGAAGTGACCAATGATTAATAGCAACCATTGTAAGGAAGAAATGGCTTGAACTAATCTTGGCCACTAGAGAAAAAGTGTCACAATAATCAAGGCCAAATATCTATGTGTATCCCTTAGTTATCAAACAAGCTTTAAAACGATCAATCTAACCAACTGGTCCAACTTTCACTATATATACCCATAGACATCCCATTGTAGTTTTGTCTGAAGGTAAAGTAACAATGTCCCAAGTGTTATTTGAATGCAATGCAACAATTTCTTCCACCATCATCTGACGCCAATTGGGATCGGTCATAGCTTCACTTGTAGACTAAGGAATAGACACAAAATCCAAAGCAGACACAAAAGAAACATAGGAAGTCGAGATACATTCATAATTTAAAACACAGGACTATTTAGGATTTGGATTATGAGATCAAATACCTTTTCATAATGCTATTGGAAGGTCAAGTTCAGGTGACGTAGCTGGAGAAACACTTGGAGCAGGAGATGGTGTTGATGGATTAATATCATCTCTAACTTCCGATTGGCTGGGTTTTAGTCGTTGGTAGACCTGCAATGGAGGTTTAATGGGTGTGGGGATGACATAAGGGATATCTCGAACATCCAAATTATGAATCTCATTGGGTGACATCGAGGCAGAGAAAAAAAGGGAACCTTCAAGGAATGTAACATCGAAGGAAACAATGTATCTTTTGAAGTTGAGGGAAAAAACAATGATATCCCTTTTGTATACGTGATTAGCCTAGAAAAATATATTTGAGAGATTTGGCGGAAAGTTTATCTTTACCTGGACTAAGATCATGAATAAAGCATGTGAAACCAAAAACGTAGAGAGGAATGGGGTAGATATCATATTGCAGATTCAAGATAGAGTAAGGAATCTGATCTTGAAGGACCGATGAAGGAATTCGGTTGATAAGGTGACATGTTGTGAGGAGAACATCGCCCCAAAAATGAGAGGGTACATTGTGGTGAAGTAAAAAAGTTCGTGTGATTTCAACTAAATGACAGTTCTTCCGTCCATCAAAACCGTTCTGTTGTGGTGCATGAGCTCATGATGATTGGTGAATAATTCCCTATGATATTAAAAAAGATTGAAACTGGGATGACATATATTCACGAGCATTATCAGTGCATAAAATTTTAATGGAAGTGTTAAACTAGTTTTTAATTTCAGCATAAAACTCTTGAAATATACGAAAAACATTTGAACGATTTTCATTAGAAATAACCAAATTCATTGAGAGAAATCAAAGTAATAATATCGCAAAGTAGACTTCACACAACTAAGACCCCAAAATATCATAATGAACTAAAGCAAAAGGTGATGCAACACTTTTATGTACTCGTTGACAATAAGTACTACGAGTATGTTTGCCTATTTGACATGACTGAACTCAAAAGATGCAAGCTTAGAAAAACTAGGAACTAAAAGACGCATTTTATTAAGACTAGGGTGGCCCAAATGTTGATGTGTAAGATCTTGAGAAGAAACAGAAGCACATACCACCAGTGGAGATAAATGATATAATCCTTCATATTCACTCCATGCTCCAATCGTCTGTACTGTACGTCAATCCTAGACATAAACAAATTTATCATTAAAAAGGAAAAAACAATCAAGAGTACGAGTAAGCTTGTGAACAGATAGTAGATTAAAAGGACAACCAGGAATGTAAAGGACGGACTCTAGAGACAAGTTTGGAAGTGGAGTGTCTGACCAAGGCCATGAACTTTGATTTCAGAACCATCTGCCAAAGCGACAGAAGGAAAAGAATCGTAATACAACAAGTGAGATAAAAGGGATTTATTACCAATCATATGATCAGAGGCACCAGAGTCAAGGACCTAAGGACCAAGAGAAGATGTAGTGACAAAGGCTACAAGATTATTCGACTGAGCAACAGTGGCAGCTGATGATCGTCGATGGGCTGTTTTGAATTGAAGAAAATCATTGTAATCAGTGGCGGGAATAATGACGTCTTTAGTGATATCCGGTTGAGCAACAACATTGACCCTTGGTTGTCGTTGTTGGTCTCTTACCTTTGTACGACAATCAACTTCAATATGACCGTAACGAATGCAATAGTTACAATGAATACTATGACGATGTCTACCTCGTCCTCCAGTTCGTCCACCACGACCATGATAGTGGGAAGCAAGAGCAGATGATTCAATGAGAAATGGGGTAGAAGTCGGTCCAAAAGCATGAAATACTTACTTTGTTGTTTAGTATAAGTTCTTGCATCTTTTGTAAAAGGCATTATGGTTGTGAAATTTTCCTTTAACGTGTCAAACTTACTCAGATAGGCTTGCATATCCATATTCTCTAATTTCAAAGAATTGAGTTTGGTGATGACACTGTAAAGATTATGGACATCATTAGAGAATACTTTCTGAGCTTTTTCCCAAACCTCATAGCAAGTGGTAAATGCTTGAAATTTGTGCTTGGAGATTAGTTACTATGGAAAACCATAACACAATGTATAAAGAATCTGCGGTTTATTTCCACTTATCACGTTTGGCGGTGGGATTACTATCAGATTTTGTAGTTAAGTGATCCTCATATGCTTGACCGTGAAACCACATTTAGAACAGCACCGACCCATATGTTGTAGTTGGTTGTTCCGGTTAGTTTCTCCCACGTGATAAGTGGAACCTTAGTGAACCTGTCGAAATCAGTATCTCCCATGATATTTGATGGCTTGGAACAGAAAACCGAGATCAGATCTGGAAAGGGCATGAGAAGGCGGTGCTGGAGGAAAAAACGGCGACGGGAGGGGCGGCGGGACGCGTTGCCACACGCGGGTGGAAGACAGGCGCGGGAGGCCGGAGGGCTTGTCGGACGGCGAAACACGGCAGGATTTTCGAATTTCGGTTGATCGGAAGGAGACGAATCCGACGGTGTGGTTATCTCGCCGAAATGTCTTCGGGAGCGGTGGGGCACTCGTATCAGTTTCATGGATCGCCTAAAAATTCGTCAAGAAACGGAAAATAATTTTTTTGTGAAAGACAATAAGTCAACCAACTATAAATACCATGTGGTAATTGTATTTTTATGTGTCGAATATAATCAATCACACATGTTGTATATTTATATGTAAAAGAGATATACACAATAAATAATAGTATAATTTACACTTATGACTGATTGAATATCAATTGATTGAATATCAATCAATACTAATAGATAGATAACAGATTCTCAACAATGTGTGATTTTCTCCATATAATAATACAAGAAATTCAGATGCAATAAATCCAAATACAACAACAATCCCATAAAAGTGGTTATTAAAAAATGTAATTTAAAATTAGAGAATGTATCATATAACAAATGTTTGGTGATTTCTACTGATACCACATCACACACTTTTGAAATAGAAAGAGATCCATCAATATTAAATGAGTGAAGAAAAAATTACATATAGTTGGTTCCTTATATAAGAGAAAACCATACCTAACTGACAAGAAATAAAATAGAAAAGTAATCTAACTTATTGAAAACACAAAAACTAACTAGATTCCACCTTAGCTATAAGGGACTAATAATCTTCATAATCTCTTCTTCAAACTCAGAAAATCCAGTAATGGTTTATCAGAGACAGGTATCAGCTTCACAACAAAACCAATTGGCCAAGAAGCAGAAGCAAGACCGACACAAATAATCCATTCTCTCCAATTCAATCTCTCTGTATCAGCAAATTTCTTCAAAAACTCAACCATCACTACTTGAAGCACCAATGTCACACCAACTATTCCCATAAACAATTTGCTTCTAAATATTCCTTCAAACACATTCTTCTTCTCCAACTTCCTTGCATTGAACTCATTAAACACTTGACACAGAACAAATGTATTAAAAATCAATGTGTCATTCACCTTTGATGTCACACCAAAAATAGTTTCACCTTTAAATTGTAGAGTCAATAAAACTATTATTTGGTAGATTGCTTGTGACAGAAGATTCCTCCACATAATGTTAGTTATAAGAGGCTTTGTTCTACCAACAGGTTTTTGATCCATTAATTCCTTTGTAGGTTTTTCTGTTGCAAGAGCCAAAGCACCTAATGTATCCATAATCAAATTGACCCATAATAATTGAACTGCTGTTAATGGAACTTCACCTGCTGAAACTGCTGCTACAAAATTGATAACAAGTGCAGCTACATTCACTGTTAATTGAAATTGAATGAATTTTTGGATGTTGTTGTAAACACATCTTCCCCAATTCAAAACTGTTACTATAGATGCGAAATTGTCATCTAATATAACTATATCTGAACTCTCTTTTGCAACTTCTGTACCTTGAATTCCCATTGAAAGTCCAATATCAGCTTCTTTCAATGCCGGTGCATCATTTGTACCGTCTCCTGTTACAGCAACTACATGCCCTTTTTCTTTTAAGCATTGAACCATTAGAAGTTTGTCAAATGGAGATGATCTTGCCATCACACATATTTTTTCAACTTTCTCTAACCTTTCTTCGTGTGTGAAGTTGCGAAATTGCTCGCCTTCAACCACGGTTTCATCTGTGTCTTGATTAGCTTGAAGAATTCCGCACTCAAATGCTATAGCTTTTGCAGTGAAAATATTGTCACCTGTTATTCAAGTTACAATGTTAGTTAATAGTTTGTTAACCGAACTGTTATAAAGGCTTGGTGCATCAGTTCTTGGTTCCGAGCAAGTTATCAATAAATGAGATATTTCTGAATACCTGTAATCATTTTTACATTCACACCAGCATGTTGGCAAGCTTCCACCGCAGTCTTCACCCCAGGACGACACGGATCCTTAATACCGACAAGTCCTAACAATGTTAAACCATTGTCTTTTACCACTATCTCGCTGTTTTCTCCATCATCTCCTAGCCCTTGAGCATCAACTTCTGCATACGCGAAAGCAATACAACGAAGACTACTAGCTGCCATACCTTGAATAATGCTTTCGAATTTTGATATGGTTTCTTTGTCAAGATATTTCACAACACCATAACTATCATAGTATTTTGAACACATTCTTAGTACCATCTCTGCTGCTCCTTTCCAATGTGCATTAACTTTGTTGTCAATATTTCTTCTCAACAAAACTCCACTCCTTTTCTTCTTTGAGTTAAAAGTCTCAACTTGAAGAATAGAACAACTTTTTGTCAAAGTTTCCATCTCCATATTCAACTCCAAAACAGCCCAAGATAATATTGCCTTTTCTGTTGGACTACCAGAAAACTCAAATTTTGAATCAGAGTCTGCTTTAGATTCTTGAACACCACCAGTTGTATTATGAGCAACTCCTTCTTTGATCAATTGAAGAACAAATGGATCAACATTTGAATATGCACCCTCTTCCAATGGTTCTAGACCAAGCCAAAATTTCGTCACCTTCATCTGATTCAAAGTGAGTGTACCTGTTACAAATCACACAAAATAGGTTTAGCTTTTCATTAAGATGGTAACCGAGAATCGAGATAACTAACTTTTATATTTTTTAAAGGTACCTGTTTTATCGGTGCAAATAGTCGTTGCAGATCCCATAGTCTCACATGCAGAAAGTTTTCTGACCATAGCTTGATCCGCCATCATTTTCTTCATAGAATAAGCAAGAGTCAAAGTCACAGCTAATGGCAAACCCTCTGGGATAGCAACGACAACAATAGTGACAGCATCAGAAATAATTCCGATTACTGCATTCATCACTTCATCAAAACTAGTCTTTCTTCCGTTAAATTCACGAACTCCGTTATCAGTCTCTGTGTTCCCGGTGAAATATCGAATCAGCAATACAACAAGGACTAAAAACGCGACAGCCAAACCACCCTTTCCGATGGATGATGTTAGCTTATTCAACCTTGCCTGCAAAGGTGTTTCTTCATCATTGTCATTGCTTATAGAACTCATCATCTGTCCCCATGTTGTGTTCATACCGACCGATGTAACTAGCATTTTTCCATATCCATCAGCAACTTTTGTTCCGGAAAACAAAAAAGGATGATGGTGTTTACTGATCTCTACATGATCGCTCTCACCGGTCATGCTGGATTCATCCACTCTGAGTGAATGTCCATCTACAAACAATCCGTCGGCCGGTACTTGATCGCCAATCTTCAAACAAACAATATCACCAACAACAATCTCAAAGATGGACACCTTTTGTCGACGACCACTTCGAACCAAATCAATTTGAATATCACTGCTAACTTGAGACAATTTATCAAACTGTTTGTTTTGTTTGAAGTTGCTTATGGATGACATTGAAATAACAATGAAAACAGCTAGAAAAATGCTACCACCGTCATACCAACCTTCTTTGATTCCATGTTCCTTGATGCCAAAGGCAAGTGAAAGAGTAGCACAAACCAAAAGGATCAGAATTGTGACATCCTTAAATGCTTCAAGAACAAAATGGAAGAAAGTTCTAGAAGGTGGTTTATTGTATGTGTTGGAACCAAACACTTGTTTTCTGAGTGCAATGTTTTCAAAACCATCATTAATACCAAAGTCGGTATTGGTTTTGAGAGATGAAGCAATACCTTGAACTCCTCCCGAATGTGTATGAAGGGTTTCAATGTTTTTGTCTTTGACAATATCAATGAGAGTTTGTTGATCAATGGTAAAAGAGTGTGGTGAATTGAAATCAATGACAGTGAAAGATGCTGTGGGTGTGATTTTAGGTTTTTTGGTGAAAGCTCTAGAACAATAGATAGTGATGAAAGCATTGTGCCATCTTTTGTTGTGTTTGGTATTGGTGTTTGGTGCATTGAGAAGTGTGTCAATGCGGTTCATGTTTGTGAATAAGGTTAATGTCATGATTTGAAGAACAAAAGTATAATAACAGCGAGGGAATATAATTTGTTTGATAGAAAAAATGAACTGAGAAGAGAATGAATTGTTGAAAGTACGGTTGATGATGTTATATATTAATGATGAGTAACGTATCAATTTACGCGGTAACTTATCCATGAAATATATTCTATAAAGCTCGTCAAAAAAAATCGCTAAATAAAATAAAAAGAAATATATATATATATATATATATATATATATATATATATATATATATATATATATATATATATATATATATATATATATATATATATATATATATATATATATATATATATATATATATATATATATATATATATATATATATATATATATAGTATTACTTAACATGTAAGTATATATATTAGATATATGATACAACGTGTCGACAAGGATTATAACCTTATTTTTCATATAAGGTTATTATTTTCTTTGTTTTGAGGAATAAGGATGTTGCTGGGAAGTGGTGCCATATATTGCTTTAATTAATTGTGCTAACAGCGATGCGTTTCCTCGTTTTTGGACGGGTAGTCCAATTTAAAAGTAAAGTCACGTTATTATTATTTTATTTTATTTTCATTAATGCTATTATTTTTAATATGGTATAATATATTTTTGTCAAAAGATAAATCAAAAAAAAGTATGGGAATAAATATTTTGAAGGTTCACAACTGTGTTATGAGAAATTTCAAGTGTAAACGAAAGTCCTTGGATTCAGGGAAACTGAATGGAACCTTTTTAGAGCATTCGGAATGAGATTCTCCGTTTTAGACAATCTAGTAAATTTTATCCTCTTTTTTTGTCCAGTGGATAGGGGTGGAAAATTTTATCCCATACTTTATAATTTATTTTTCTATTTCTACATTATTTATTTATTTAACAAAATGTTTTATATATTAAAATGCTCTTCAGTTTTTAGAGAGGTATATTTGGCCGTATTTATTATACACTCAACGCAAAATTTTGTCATCTTTGCATGTTAGATATTTTTGGATATGCATCTTCGAAATATTTTGTCATCTTTGCATGTTAGATATTTTTGGATATGCATCTTCGAAATAATCTGATAAAAGAAACAATTGCATGATCACATGACCATTGTTGCCATTGTTGTTTTTCAACACAAACCCTCACCAAAAACCCCATTCATTCTCAATCCATTTTCACTACAAATCTCCAATCTTGTGGTTCATTACATCAAAGAAAACAAAAGAAGATATAATTCCAGGTAAAGATCCTTTATTTCTCACGTCATTGCTCACATTAATCAAGCATTTTGTTTGAAAAAATAAGTATTGTGTCCGAAAACGTATCTCCAGAACAAGTATGAACTTTTTCGGAGATGCATTTCTAGAACTAGTATGTTTTCAGCAGTGGCGCTTATATTCTGTTATGTTGTAATTATTTTCATTAGATATGGTGCACCGCGATATTTTCCCAAAACAAGTTGTTTTTTTGAATGTCCAAGGTGTTGTTGTGAAGGCGGTAGATGTTGACTACCAATTTAAAAACGAGCAAGAGTTTGAATCTCGTGATCAAATGCTTCAACGGATTCGTATGGAGGCCTCTAAACATGGACTTGTTGTGGTATCGGAAGGTCCGATAATGGTTCGGATAGAAGACGCGCTTTTGTGACAATGACGTGCAAAAGAAACGGGAAATATAGAACTCCTCTCCAGAATTTTAAAAGAGACGACACCAGTTCAAGAAAATGTGAATGTCCGCTTAAGATGTGTGGTTACATGTTGGCAAATAAAAACTGGAGATTTAATGTGATATATGGTTTTAATAACCATGGTTTGTGTGAAAAATTAGTTGGTCATCCTAGTGTGTGTCGGCTCATGTCGGAAGAGAATGAATGTGTTGTTGACATGACATTGAATATGCTTCAACTGAAAAATATACTTGCAACATTGAAACAGAAACGACCAGAAAATATATCAAATATTAAACAAGTGTATAACATTTGATACCTTACTAATAAGGCGCTTAGGGGGTGGAACTGAAATGAAAGAACTCTTGAAACTGTTGGATGATAACATTTACGTGTCTAGGTACCGAACGTGCGAGGATGGAGTTATTGTTAGAGATATATTTTGGACTCATCCTGATTCCATAAAATTGTTCAACACGTTTCCTACTGTGCCCATAGTTGATTTAACCTAGAAGACCAACAAATATAGACTTCCATTAACGGAGATGGTTGGTGTTACCTCAACTGAGAAGACATCATATGTTGGGTTTACATTTCTTGAGTGTGAAAAATAGGACAATTTTACTTGAGCCTTAGAGGTGTGTCAGACACTGTTGAAGGACCAAGGTGAGATGCCTAAAGTTATTGTTACCGACCGCGATGTCGCATTGATGAATTCGGCTGCAAACGTATTTCCTTCTTCTAATGCATTACTTTGTAGGTATCATATAACAAAAAAAATGTGAGAAGTCGTGTTAAACTTGTGGTAAGAACGAAATAGATAGAGTCCGAAGATGGAAAAATGGTGAAAGCGAATGTGGTTGTAGAAAAAATAATGGATGCATGGAATCGAACAAAAAAGTCTTCCATAAAAGAACTATATGTTGATTCTGTTATGCATTTCAGGAAAGTGTGTGAAAAATATCTTGATTTTTTGAAATATGTTTAAAGTACAATTCTTGACCAGGTGAAGGTGAAAATTATTTGTGCATGGACCGATAATGTTATACACCTTGAAAATACAACAACTAACAGAGTTGAGTCTGCCCATGCTACTTTGAAAATTTGGTTGGGAATAGTAAGGTTGATTTGCATAGAGATTAGGACTCTGTGAACTACATGATTCAAAACCAGCATAATTAGATATAAACATCATTTGGTTGGAGCATCACAGTTTTGGTACACATATTTAAAGACAATACTCTATATTCTCAGTTGGTTGGTAATGTTTCTTGGGCAGCTTTGAATTATATTTTTCACGAGGATAAATGACCTGATAATGTAGGCTCCGATAGTGCAAAGTGTGGATGCATAATTGTGAAAACATATGGTCTCCCGTGTGCTTGTGTTATTTCTAAAAAGGTGAAATTTGGTGACCCAATAAGAATGGACGAGGTTTGTACTAATTGGAAGAGACTTAGGTTTGATGATAATGGTGTCATGAATTATGGTAAATAAAATATATCTACTTTGACTGAATGGGAAGTGATACAAGAAAGATTTTTGAAAGCTGATGACAACATGAAACTCTAAATCAAAGAACAATTGAGGAAGATTTCCTATCCAGAAACCACCAACCTGAAACCACCCTCTCAACCGGTAAAAACAAAAGGTGCTCTGAAGAAAATGAAGCATGCACCAAATGACAATTCGAATATGTAATGCCCTAGACTACTTTCAAGATTACCGACTGACCCTACAAACCAACACGAGTCTTTTCAGCATGCTTTGTCCTCACTCAGACGCTTTCCAAGAAACTTTCCAGAAGTTCATCCATTCAAATACTACTCCAAGTCAAATACATTTAACTACGGAGTTCTTCTTTGTTAGGCTACCGAAAAGAAGATGCATGTAACACCCCATATTGCTTTCAGGATTATCGATTGACCCCACAAACTAACACGAGTCTTTTCAGCATGCTTTGTTCTCACTCAAACGCTTTCTAGGAAACTTCCTAGAAGGTCATCCATCCAAATACTACTCCAAGTCAAGCACGCTTAACTATGGAGCTCTTATTTGTTAGACTACCTAAAAGAAGATGCATCTTGTTAGTATATGTAGTACCAATTAATCCTTATAAGTCTTCCTTCAACCATGCAGTCCCAAACCTACATAGCCTCAGGATCCCTCTCATTTCAATGTGAATTCGATTTTTCTCCCTAGAAGCTGCTAGGAGTGTCTCATTGCCATGTCTCGTGCAACGACAACCACTCCCTCACTCTCGAGTGTTACATGTAATCACTTTTCACCCTCTTCGGCCTCGGGTGTTACATGTCCATCAACTTCCACTTAATCTGTCCCCGAACCACATTATAGTAGGAGAGTTTTGGCTCTAATACCATTTTTAACGCCTTTGACTGCTTTTAGGATTATCGACTTACCCCACAAACTAACACAGGTCTTTTCAGCATGTTTTGTCCTTACTCACATGCTTTACGGGAAACTTCTCAGAAGGTCACCCATCCAAATACTACTATAAATCAGTCATGCTTAACTATGGAGTTCTTATTTGTTAGGATACCAAAAACAAGATGCATCTTCTTTTCGGTAGACTAATCAATAAGAAATCCATAGTGAGGCGTGCTTTACTTGAAGTAGTATTGTGATGGGTGACCTTCTGGAAAGTTTCCAAGAAAGTGTGTGAGTGAGGAAAAAGCAAGCTGAAAAGACACATGTCAATCGTAAATCCTAAAAGCAGTTTGGGCATTACAGACTACACGACATCCTTCATATTTTGAACATGTTGACAAAGTTTTTCCTTACTCACCAACTCCAAAATCTCAAAAAAGGGTTGTCAAAAGAGCTCGCACTAGCAAATGACCTCCTACGTCGCTTCCACCAAAGATTCCATTCATTGACGAGATGTCAGATTTTATGCACAAATACATCGAGTAGATCGTCAATATTGTGGAGAACAGTAATTGCAGTTATCGAGCAGTTTCGACTTTACTCGGTAAAAGAGAAGATAATCCTACACTTGTCCTCCATCAACTTATCCGAGAGTTGAAGACGCATGAAAAATCATACACACAGTTGTACAGAAAGAAAGAAAAATTTGATATATTTTATTAGTCTCTTGTTCCTTGCCTTCGCGGTCCGGCACCGGAGGCCAAATGAATGTGCTTTCTTGAAATGAGTTACTTAATAGCATGTATGTATGATAGAGTGTATGTTGATCTGACACGATACGGTTTTTCCTAAACCTTTTTCCCACTACACACCACCCCACCTCAAAATCCAAATGATCGTATTATGTGTATTGGGTGGCTTTCTAAATCAAGTCATT